CAATTCGGGTGCGGCAAACTGTGCACTCTAGCGGACCAACCTCCCTTGACATCTCTCTATTTGGCCAAAATTCTACTCTTTCCAGCCGCTTCCCGACCAGGTACACGGTGCCAGGTAAGGCTCCATACAGGTAATATTTGTGTGGCCCTTTCATCTGGTATGCAGGTAAGGCACCATACAGGTAATATAGTGTATCAGCCTTTCAGCTGGGGACCAGGCAAGGCACCGTGCAGGTAAAATCTGTGTGGCCCTTTCATCTGGTATCCAGATAAGGCTCTGTACAGGTAATATCTGTGTCAGCCTTTTATCTGGGGACCAGGTAAGGCACCATACAGGCAATATAGTGTGTCAGTCTTTTATCTGGGGACCAGGTAAGGCAACGTGCAGGTAAAATCTGTGTGGCCCTTTCATCTGGTATCCAGATAAGGCTCTGTACAGGTAATATCTGTGTCAGCCTTTTATCTGGGGACCAGGTAAGGCACCGCACAGGTAATATCTGTGTGGCCCTTTTATCTAGTATCCAGATAATTTGGAGCTGTGCGGTAATTCCAATTTTCAATGTCACCTGCAGAGAAGAGTGTGTCGGGCTCTGCTAGTTCCTTGTGCAGATTTGCTCGGAATCAAGCCCTCCCTAGTTCCTTTTCGAGAATCAAACCCTCCCTTACGTTAGTTCCTAGTTCAGATTTTCGCAAAGCCTATCCGTACCCTCATTCAAGGTAGCAGGTCACAGTATTAATTGGCGACCCCCGGAGTCTATGACGCGGGTATAGAAAGTAGTGCAGCGAATATTCTTGAAGGCTGGGTAGAAAGCCTAATAAGAGCGTCAGCCAGGTGTAAATTGTGCTGTGTGGTGTAGAAATGTATCGGGTTTGAGACTGTATGATTTGATTTGTGAAGGTTTTGCAGTTCGTGTATAAATGCGCCGCATTGTGCAACTGGCTTTCCGGGTGAGTCGGCTGCAGTTCAGGTCACGTCCGTAGGAGGCGATTTCAAAGTGTACGTCACGAGCAGATACGCCGACAGGATTTTTTGGTTTCTAGATATTTTGTAGTTTGTACCTTCTTCTCAAACATATTCGATTTTCGTATTTGTGAAGTGCACCCTGCTATAATTTTTACCGCGTCGAAGTGAGTCATCTTGGGGTCCTTAACTATAGAAATCCCCATAGGGCGAAAACTGTGTTCTGCTACCTCAAACCTGACTTTTGCCCCCCTCCCCCATTTATTATATATCATTTTTAACAGCCAAGTTTAGTTAATGTTTGAGCTTTTTCCGAATCCCATGTCAGCCCAAGTTGAAATCATAACCTGGAGCAACACTTACCTGTAAAATAGTTGACGTAGAATGTATATATGCGTGGCGTTTCCAGACGTACTATGTACAGAACGGTCGGCTGTATGCCGGGCCGTGACCTGGCCGGACCCCGATCCCGTGAGGCTTCGCGGCTCCTGCCGCTCTAGATCCGCTTAGCTTAATTATGTGATTTTGTCGCTAAGCGCGTAGGCTGGACTATGAGACTAGACTCGGCTAAGCACTGGTCCTGCTTAGCGATTGTAATCGTCTAAGCGTGTCAGAACCGGGTGGCCACACCGGTAAACACGGCCGCCATATTGCCTGCAGTTTTGACCTCTGGCTGTGGGGTCATCCCGCCAGCCGAACCGCGCGCAATGCATTTATGGAGTGTACTCTGGGGCGAACTCCTCGTTAATCGCGGTACCCTAGCGTACTCGGAGTACATGATTAGGCAAGGCCCTTGTCTAATCATGGCCCATGATTAACAAACTTTCTTGATAATCATGACAGGAAAGTGCGGGTGTTTGAGCAGACATTCTGTGTGGTGTACGATTTGTTGCAGTTCATGAAGTCATCAGAACACAACGTTATGTTAGATGAAGAATGTTTCTCAAATATCGTTAGGAAACTTTTAAATGCACACCTATTACAGAGCATTGTCATTGGAGTTGAGTCGGATTTCAGCTCCTTCTAAGAGCATGAATCTGACTAAGGCTAGTTTTCATGAAATAGGTGGACCAGGAGCAACGTAACAGGCATATCAGAAATATCCATATCTTCATGACAACTTTCAAGACAACTTGCACTTAGTACCACACACCTTTGTCACCTGTGAAACATGTGTTTTATATGGTTCGATGGTGTAAAGAGACGTGCAACTATTGCCCTATTCCATCTATGGTCTGGTACCTGAATCTACAAAGTGAAAAGCAAATGCCCTTGTTTTATACTTTGAATGATAAATCTGAAGCTAAATGATGAGAGTAAGAATAATAGTTATACATAGTAATGAATTGTGTTCCCACAACTTAACATGAGCACTGTTTTCATGCCGTATTTATTACCTCCATGAAAAATGGAGGTATTGTTTTTGGCGTGTCTGTATGTCTGTCTGTCTGTCTGTGTGTGTGTGTGTCTGTCTGTCTGTCTGTGTGTGTTTCCGCAACTTTGTGGTCAGCATAACTTCAGAACGCCTTTATGGATTGCGATGATATTTGGTGTGCTGGTAAGTCTTGGAAAGACGAAAGACAAAGGTCAAGGTCAAATATGGGCCTCCTGGTGGATGACCTTGGTACTGCAGCAGAACTTCCGGTTTTTGTATCTTTTGTCCTGAACATGCTATGGTCTTGATGTTTTTGTGACAGATAGCTTATCCTATCAGGAATAAGTGGTGTGAGTTTGGTCCCCCTGGCAGCTTGTTCTGGAACTGCAGGGCACTTTCTGGCGAAATGTTTAAAAGCCAATAAGTCCAGATAGGAACAACATATTTTCATAATTTTTGGTGTGTAGGTAGCTGAGAGAGAGATGTACATGATTAAATGCAAATTATGCAAATGAGGACTTTATTTGCATAACTAATGAGGAAATTCTATAATTACAGTGTTTTACATTATACTACTTTCATACATGTAATGTATGTAATCTATGGCAGGCAGAACATCAACAGATACTAATTATGCAAATTATGACCTAATTTGCATAATTTATGCAAAAATTCTATGATTTCTTAATGGTGAATGATGGGAATGTCATACTTGGGACATCTGTAACTTAATCAAAAGTTAACATACATCGTGATGCATATATCATGTTAATGCAGAGGTAATTTGCATAATTAAAGAAGAAATTTACATTTACATTTTAAGCCCATATTTCATGGAGGTATGAAGTCTCGGAATTCTTGTTTCAGACATGTTTTGTTGGGTTCTTCCAGTAGTGTGTTAGGTAGAGGTAGCCCCTTATGTTTACACGTTGTTGTGTTGTTTTAAACTTGTAACTGTTATATATCTTACGCAATGTGTAAGTGCAGCCACCACGACCTTCTCTGCCTTACTGTTTTCGTGGTTCTGCTCCAGTCGGAGGATAGGGAGAAAAGAATTTTCTGACCTACCTTGGTTCTTGGATAAGATGATTTACTAGTAATTGTAAGAGTTAGTAGAATACAGAGCCGCCACTGGGATGCATATATTACTGAACTGAATGTCCGATGTGAAAGTCACTTGCATGTCCCGAATAGTGCTCAAGATATATGTCTAAGATGATGCTGGTAGTACAGGTAGTGTCCAAAGTAGTGTCCAGACTTAAATCCCAAGATAGTGTCCAAGGTGGTGCCCAGGTAGTGCCGTAAAAGCTGGTATGCTCCTATCTCCTTCTGGCCTGAAACCTGTCCAACTTCTCCTTTTGAGAATCCTGATTCTTCCGTCTTAGGAAGCCTATTTTCTTCCACCATGGAAGCCCATTTTGTCTCACCAGAAAACTACTACGAATGTTGACGGAAAGAGCTGTATGCCCCTATATCATAGTAGTGTCACCCGTGGTTATGAGTTTTCATAAATGCGCGGTTTCTGGGCTGAGACATGACTTATCATTTACCTAATAAGGAAATACTACTAACGCATAAATTTTGGCAACTCAAAATATAAAAGAGCTGATTTATCTTTCTGTCCTGAGAGGTGGGTTGTCAGTACGCGTTGACTTAATAAATGACTTTTGAAATCCGACAATTGATGTTGCCGTTGTTGCTTTTTGGGGCCAAAGACACTTACACTTGTATTAGCTGCCTGCTTTTGTATCTCTAACCACTTATGCCAGAAATGCGCGCTGGACCCTTTGGAAAAGAGCTCTACAGAGCGGACAGCGGCGCCCTCTGATCCTCAGCATGTTGGCGCAGTGTTCGCAGCAGCAGAGATGTCCGCACGGGATGAACACCATACAGGCGTCCTCGGACAGACACACCTTACACTGCCTCTCCTCACGGAGACGACGTAACTCACGCTCCATGGTCTCAGGAGCCAGGGGTTGTTCTGTATATGGACAAATGTTAGAAACCAATACATTAGTGGACATCTTTAGAATCATGATAGATTCGTCTATTTACTTTCCTTTCCTTGCTATTACGTAAAGATGTTCAGTTGAACCTAATACTGCGCCTCCAAAGATCATTCCACATGGTGACAGAAATCATTACAGACTTCAGCAAGACTTACCATCCATAGGTGTAGGTCGAGCGGCGGGCGCGGGACAAATGACAGGAGCATTTTGAGCGAAATGTGGTTCTTCCTCTTCATCTGATGGATAATATCGAACCTCCTCTTGAGGCAAGAGTGCGTTCAGAAGTTCTGATGCGGTTGTAAAAGGCCGGTTGTACCGCTGCCACTGGTTGTGGACGACAGCCTGTATCCTGTCCTCGTCAAAGCCCATTTCGAGAATACTTTGTATGATACTCGTTTCGATCCCCCAACTATACTGTGTTTATTTCGGGAGGAAACAGACATATTTGTATCAAACCCAACGGAAGACAGTAAATAAACAAGACAAACACAACGTAGATGTACCATACCTGGGCCGCAATAATGTTCCATACGGGTGTTCCGGCCCGTGTAATAACGATTGGTATCGGGCGATCCTATCCGTGGTCGGGCTGGTACTTCGGGCGATACGGAATACCGCGTGTAGTATTCTATATTTATGTCATACCTGGGCCGCGATTACGTTCGATACGGGTGTTCCGGCCCGTGTGATAACTAGCGGTACAGAACGGGGTTCTATTGGGTTACGGCCCGGCCTTCCAGTTGCTCTAGAGAACTATTCTAATGCGTTCCGCCCAAACCCTAAGATTCGAATACAGGATTATGGTTTTGTAATTAACAGCTGTGTTGCATAATTTGGTTTAGAGACACCAAATTTTGGCTCATTTCGCATCGAAAGGCGCGTTTTCTTGGGTGGGTATGACTTACTAGTAAAATACAACACAGTGTATTCCGAATCGCCCTCTGCCCCAGCCCTCCCGCGATACGGAATACCTCATGCATGTGTATTCTATATAATTATACAACTCACATTAGGACAAAGTAATGGCGGTTCCAAGATCAAGGTGTACCAATGACATCCTGCATTGTTGGTCATTTTAAATCATTATTTATCGCATTCTGTTGAAATGTTACAGACTTATGATTTAAATACAAGTAGCAGATAATAGCGAGTATGATTTAAATACAAGTATTATAGCAGATAATAGCGAGGCTTTGTGGTAGACAGATGCTCGAAAGATTATGCTAGGACCTATTCTATGCCCAAAATTGCCATTAAATTGTCGTTATACCGTTGCACTTAAAAATCGGCAATTTTTTAACTATAAGCTATGAGCTAAGTTCTGACCAAAAAAAAGAAATCAAGAATTGAGCAATATGTTAAGACATGCCCTTTATAATACGTTTTGCCGAAAACTAGATAATTTTAAAAATTGTCTTTCCTATAGAGTGCCGTAAACAATACGTATTACATGTTATCAAAACGCATTTTTTACACTTAATAGCAAAAAATCTCCTTGTAACTGCCCAAAATTGTGATAGGACTGGCCATTTAGCATGTTATATAGGATATATCTATATGCAACAGAAAATATGCGTCTTTATATTGCTTGTACTATGGGCTAAAATGTCAGAAGGTTGTCAGTTGAATGCTTTTCTGTCCGAGAAAATGTGTAGTGTCCGTACAGATGTACAAAATGGCTCATTAATTGGAATATAAACACGATGGTCAAATTTGGGCCCAAATATTCCAACCTTTTCATCGAACAGAATCATGTTCGATATGACGTCATTCGAATCGAATCATGTTCGATATGACGTCAATCGAACCGAACGTTCGTTCGATCCGGGGTTACCCGCGGTCATGTACAGTAAACCCGCGGCTTCAAGCCCGTTTTTACACGGGTACCGCCTAACAGTAAAAAAATCCACCTTTTTACAAATATAAACCGATTTCGGGACAGTATATCTATGCCCTGTTTTATAGTGGATATGTAACATGTAACGAAGCTACTGCTGTTATCGTGTGTGATCTTGAAGATCCTAATTGTTGTTTACGGGGATCTAAGTTACCCCTTGCACTTACTCACACGACCTGACATGGATGCAAACATGGTATTTAAACCGCAACAAAAACAAATTCAATTTACCTCAAAAACGTTTTAAATTGTAGAGAAGACAAAAATCTCGATCTGTGTCGGACGGATTTTTTAAAGATGGCGGCGTTCTGGAATTATCCGTCTTGGAAGTTGAAAAAGTGCATTTTTTGGCGAATTTTTCTACCTTAGCAACACTTTAACTTTGAAATAAAGAAAACTGTCCGACTCAAATCTTAATTTTGTTATACTGTTGTCAAAAAGGCAAAAATGTGGAATTTTCGGAGAGATTTGGGGTCGGTTTAAATCAGTTGTTTGGTTATTGACGTCGATTGTTCTAGAATAAGTATTCGACGCGTTGAGAGTGATTTCACCCACATTTAAGCATTGTAATAAAAACACCAACATTTGAGCTATATGCAGTGCGGATTTTATCACATTTGGACAAGAGAGTCCCCTTGAAACTGCTTATAATTGATGAAAAGAATATTTACCGTAGAGACTGGCTCCACGGAAGCCGCGCGTGGAACCCCGGTAACCTGATACCCTTCCGTAGAATTGGAAACCTTACCATAGGAATTGACCGCCGTGAAATGCCATGGGTACATAAAAACTCAATATTCTGAAAAATCTAAACATGGTGGCCTTATGACAGAAGCCAGATAATTGTTGTAAATAAACAAAATGACGGTCATAAATTACCATATTGTAGTGTCCGTAGAGATGTTTTGAGATTTTGTACCATATAAGCAAAATGCATAAGTGTAATAATTTTTTTTTTTAATATTAGGTCTTCATTTACATATTCTATATCTGCCATGTTCCTCTCTTTCTCAATTACACATGTCATAAGTGTTTCATAGCCCTATTATCGATCAAAACGAATTTTTAGAAGTTCCTCATTACTTGTGCAAATTAGATCCCAATTTGCATAATTGTAATTTCATTATGTCAAGCATCACTCAAGCTACCTACATACTAAAACTCACGATGATACGTCAACCGGTTCTTCAGTTATCGTCTCTCGGAGATTTTCAAACAAACCGTCCTGCAGTTCCAGAACAAGCCGCTAGGTTACTTTTCAAAGAAATTTGCACCCTCCTGGTAGTTCTGTAACGTCATTTCACATTTGAAACAAATCGTTAGAGGATACACCGAGTATTGTTGTTATATGTCTAATGAGCTGTATAGTGCCCATTATAAAGTAATGCACTAAAGTTTGAAGGAGCGTGACTTTTAAACCGCTAATCTCTATCACAGAATATAAAAAGCATCATGCATGCAAGTAGTACACTTTTCTAACTAAAAGTTGGAAATTATGAAACTTGAAAAATCGGCTCAAGTGCAACCTGGTATACCCTTGTCTTGGAATAGCCGCCATCCCTCTTTGATGTCATGTCTGTTTTAAAGTTAAGACCAACCTGTTGCACGACGGGAGGACGGCGTGTCCTGATGTCCCGGATGTAGTCCATGCCCTTGTTCATGATGACGTAGCCGCACTCCGGCCCGTACCACCGCGCATGCTCCTCCCATGGGTCGTCGTCCTGCTGCCAGTCCTTCAGGCCGCCCTCGCACCAGAAGCAGCGGACTTGGTCGGCAACGTCTGCGGAAGGGGGTACAAAAGGCATTTTCTTTCAGCACTTCAAAACAGACTGTGCATGATTTCATGAGGAAAGTTGCTGTCAGGATTGCCCTTGATAATGGTGTGGATACCTGTTAAACCTTGGACCCAAATGACACCGATCATCCCCAAGGTTATACCAATGACTCATACTAGTCTCCAAGATCCTAAAACGTATGCATATATATATATATATATATATATATATATATATATATAGAACATTTTTTTTCATCCCTTTTGTTCGCACACTCACAAAGGACAAACGTTTGTGAAAGTATAATTTACTATAGGCCGGGATAAGTAAATATTCTTGTATTAGCGTTATATGCTGTCTAGTCAACTACTTATTATTGAAACTTACATGTGTAAAGAAAGCCGGCCCGTACTAGCCTCAGTGGTGACATGGGATAATACCCCGGCCAGTTGTGAAAAGTGGATAGTCGGTTGTCCTCATCCGCAAAACCTGGTAGTTTTGGCCATTGTGTCTCTACTGGTAATGCAAATGCTGACGTATATCCCGATCCGGTCCTTTGAGTTACCTGACTCAGACTGACGTGTTCTGGTGTTGACGATTGCTGACTAGTTTGGCTGATAACGATACAATGAGCTCTACTGTGACTGCTCCTTGGCTGCGATGTTTGCGGTGATGTCGCTCCAAGCTGGACATTTGCCGTCGCCCTTCCGTTCACGAAGGGACAGCGTGGGTAGTGTCGCTCGTGTTCTATGAACGGATCGTCGGCCGCCTCCCACTCCTGAAGGACTCCTCCACAGAACGCACACTCCTCACGGTCTCTGTAGCCCAGGTAAATAAAGCCGTCCCTCGCAAGATCTTCTGGGGACACGGGTGCATCTCTTGGCCAGTCAAAATATTAAGTGTTAAGTCGATCTCTTTCTGTTCTCAAATTCCTTGTCTGATATTGGTTTGAACTTGGCGGAATCCTTGTTGTTTCTTGATGTCTTGATGGTTGATCACTACTGACCCCGTCCACGTTGTCATTAGCAAACTCGGGGTGCCCGTGGGCATGCTGCGCCCCACATGCAGTACTTCCTGATGAATCAAAATTCCAAGCTCCTTTCAGAGATTGACGTTTGATAGGGCAATCATTCTCGTCTGTTGTATGAGGGCCTGCCCCTGCTTCTTTAAGCGAATGGTTCATCCTTGCTGTCTTTCCAAGCTCATTGTGCGATAGATTTCTGTCTAATGTGCCACCTACTTGGTTGTTCCGACGATGTTTCGCTATCAAACCGTCTCTTTCATCACTGTTCATGTTGTTTCTCTCTTCATTTGCTGGTCCAACTGGGCAACCCTTAAGGGACTCTCTTCCACTTGATTTATCATCCTGTTGGTGCGACTTATGGCCCTCTAAATGTCTTTCATGTCTTTCCTGTCTCTTCATTCCGTCCTCTTGCCATCTTTGTTTGTTCTCAGAAAACCGTCGATATTCGGCAAAACTACAAACTTCCTTTGATGATATTCAAAGATCCCCTGGTAAGATTACTTGTTCAGGAATATTAACGTAAAGCTGATTCTATTTTTCTTTCGGTTACATCAGTCCGATCTACTCCGTGGCAATGGGATACGTGATGAAGAAAGAAAGGCAATCTCCACAAGGCACATTTTTTGTGTGTGGTGTAAAAACAGTGACGGTATCACTTTAAGATCCAGCAGCTCCACACCGTGCACTTGTGACCACGTTACACATCACCTCGCACAATCATCCAACGAACGCAGAGGATGTTCCTTGCGTTCCTGACACCTACGGGTGCAAGATGGAAAAATGAGCTGAAATATGTATCAACAAGATGACTATTTTGCTTAGGGATGAATATGATCATATTCTAAAGCTTGCAAAACGGTGTCATGCGTCCATGAATGTAAAATCACCATAAAATCAGTCTTTGCTCTGTACCTGTTGTTGGATGTGCCAACGGCGCAATGTGTTCACGTGTGGACAATGAGTTCTAGTGTTGTGCATCTAAGGTGCTGCACAGCACTACGATTTCAAAAGAGGGCACTTTATTTGGTCGATCAGGTGTGTTGTGTGTTGACTCTGGGTTAAAGGTTACAACCATTGTCAACAATGCATTAATCTTCCATGGGACCGTTGAGCGGCGTAGAAAGGCCTCCATTCACAGAAACGACAAAGAAACATAGGAAAACACACCATAGGTACTGGAAAGGCCTAATATTTTTCTCAAACCAGATAAAACATTTGGGTATATTAACTAGAACGCGAGCAGCTTTTTAGCACTAGGTGCTTTCCACACACACCTTTGTTAACGCCATTTGATAAGTAAGATTTTGTTCCTCATCGATTGTGTTCCACATAGCACGTACTATTGCAACTTGCCATCCTTGGCCCTGAATCATGCAACCGTTAAACTATGACACCCCTCCCCCTTTTACACCGTACTACGTGTACTAGCCTGGCACTAACTCAGTGCGAAACTACATGTTGATATTCGTTATAAGTAATCGACATTATGATCATAATTTGGCCATATATAG